GATTCGCTCAGATTGACCATCCGTCTGAGGATGATAAGTTGTGTTGAAGTTCGGTCGAGATTCCAATGCTTCATACAAATTCTTCCAAAATATCAAAGTAAATATGGGATCTTTGTAATAAACTATCGAGATAGGTGCACCGTGAAGTCGTAATATCTCTATGATATATAATTTAGCATACTTAACTATCTCATACTGGAATAAAGTGTGATGTCTTAGTCAATCTATCAACAATCACCCAAATCGAGTCTTTCTTATTGGGTGTCAAAGGTAAACATGTTACAAAATCCATAGTAACCCTTTCTCATTTCCCCTGAGGAATAGAAATAGGTTGTAATAAACCTTATGGCATCTGATACTCTTCTTTTACCTACTGACAGGTCAAACATTTATCTACAAACTTAGTTATAGCTATTTTCATACTTGGCCACCAATATCGACTCTTCAAATCTTGATACATTTTATTTCCTAATGGTTGCATAATTAAAGGACTATAATGAGCTTCAGAAAGAATATCCTTATTTAATTCTTCATCATCGGGTATTTATAACTCCGTAAAAAGGTCATATTTAGGGTCTTTTCACTTAAGTTATTGATTGTTTAAGAGCTCATATAGGATCATATAGATGCATTTAGGAGCAAATAGTTGCATGCGGCGGAAATATATTTTGTCGTTACATTTTTTTTGTAAATGGTGTTGCGTTATGGGGAAGGTGTTTTGTCTAATGATGTGCAGGATTTGGGAGCAATGATAAGCGAGGAGAATTGTCATGACATGCTGCGAATGCTGAACATAATGCAAATGCCAACTCGGACGACATTTCGGAGACGAAAAAGACAAAAGAAGATATTTTCAAGAGCCAGTTGTCCTTATCTTCACGTGCCTTCAGCTGCCAGACACCTAGGAGGGAACATCTACGACCTAGGTCGGTTGATCCTATCGACACGTACACCCAACTGTAAACTGCCCAGGAGGGGACCACTCCCAGCTACCCAGGAGGGGACCACTGTTGTATCTGCCTCACTCCTCACGTGAAAAAAACCAGCTCGGGGTATCCTATGAATTTTAACACAAATTCCTAGGGTTATTCCCCACTATAAATAGGAGATGAAGACACCATATTTAAAGAGACTTTTACACGCCGTTTTGAGCTTAATTTCAAAAAGAAAAAGGTCTCTCATTTTTTCGTCAATCGTTTTTGTCGTGGCATTCATTCATTAACAAGCTATAGGGAGTGATGAGCTAGGCGTCCGAGAGGAGCTAGCGAGCTAGGGCAGTTCATGGTGGCCGAGGGAAGCTCCAGCAGTGCACGACAAAGGCTTTTCCTCCATCCCTTTGTTATTTGCTTTCATTTATCTTAGTTGGGTTGTATGGAACGAATTAATTTCATGCCTTGTCATTTTGAATATTCGAACCCCACCATGAATTAGTTTTATTTGGTGGGAGTTCCTTATGAATACTTAAGTTTTATTTTAATGGATGGTTGTTTTCGTATGTTGTTATTGGTTTTACTTATGATGTTTAATGCCTTAAGGTTGTAGGAGCTATGAGAGTAGTCATTCCTTAGGAGAATTCTTAGTGTTCGATAGAATGACTAAGTAGCATATCTTTAGTATCCGAGAGAAACTAGAGAGGATCTACATAAGCAAGGGGTTCTAAATAGTAACTAGACCTAATCCAACCTTAGACATAAGGGTAGGATTTCAATCGACTAAAAGGAGTAGTGCTAAGTCGAGAGGTTAGATGCTAGTGTTAACGCTGAGTGGTATTGTCGTGACATATTCTGTTTTCTGAACCAATAGGATCCCTGCACCTGCTAATGCAGAGAAGTATTGCCATGGCATCCTCAACATGTCGAGTCCCTTGACTAGAGATAACATAGGGCACCTTTAGTAAACTCTGTCGAGCAAGTAAGGCATAGAAGTAAGACCATCCTGAAAAGATAGACTTAAGTTTCCTAAGTGACTCCTATCATTCATTCTTGTAGTAGCTTATTGTATGAGGATTCTAAAGTCATTTTAATCAAATCCAGTGTTTACATTTCGTTTTGCCTTTACAATTTCAATTGATTCCACTACACTCAATTTAGTTTTACCAAGACATTTTCATCCATTTTGCCACGACATCTCCATTTGCTACCATATTACATTACACCATCATTCCATTCCCACCAACATCCATTTCATTTTGCCATATCATTCTCATTTGTATATACCATTACTAACTATATTTAGGTAAAGTAGATAATTGCTTTGATTGAACTTATAAATTTCCTTCAATCCCTATGGATATGATACCCACTCATCACGTTATTACTTGTTCGATTGTGTATACTTGCACATATTTTCGCGACCATATTTAGTAGTCACAAATTGCGGACAAGTTTTTGGAACCATTGCTGGGGATTGTCAACTGGAAGTTAATTAGTTTTGTTATAGCATTTTTATTTTACTTTTTTATTTTTTATATATAGTTTTACTTGTTATTTTCCTTGCCTTTTTCAGGTTTTTCTTGGCGTGTGACTAGAAGACACTCTTACGAGCCATTAGAACCAATTGAACCTGAGATTGAGAGGCTCTTAAGGCAAAGAAGACGTGCTCAACGTGCAAACATGTATCAAATTGGAAATCAAGGTATTGGTCATGAGGAAGATCAGAATGTTGAGGCAATTTCGAATGTTAGGAATGCAGCCAGGCCTCGTGCCATTCGAGATCACTTAAATCCTATCTTGGACGACTTAAATCCAGGAATTGTGGCACCCGAGATTCAAGCAGCCCATTTCGAGATCAAACATGTCATGTTCAATATGCTAATTTTCATAGGGCAATTTGGGGGCATGACAAATGAAGATGCTAGACAACATATTCGTAACTTCTTGGAGGTGTGCGATTCTTTCCGACAACAAGGGGTGCACGAAGATGTATTAAAGTTAAAGTTATTTTCATATTCTCTGCGTGACTGAGAAAGGTCTTGGTTGAGTGGTGTTCCAACGGGTTCGATGGAGCCTTGGACTGATCTGTGCAAAAGTTTTTTACTGCGATATAATCCACCGAACATGAACACCCAATTGAGGAACGACATTACTTCTTTTCGTCAAGCCGATGACGAATTAATGTATGAATGTTGGGATCAGTATAAAGGATTGCTTCACAAATGCTTAAATCATGGTTTTCAAGATTGGACTCAAGTGGTAATGTTCTATAATGGAGTAAATGTGCCCACGAGGATGATGCTAGATGCCTCGTCAAATGGGACATTGCTCGATAAATCACCTGTAGAGGCATTCAACATTCTGGATAGGATTGCCAACAATGATTATCAATTCTCATCTACGAGGCTTGGAATTGGACTAAAAGCACATGAGCCATTTGAGTTGGATACTAAGGATTCTGTGTTCGCCGAACTTGCTGCTATCACCAATATGTTAAAGAATTTGCAAAGACCAAGTGAGGTGAAAGAAGTGAAGGTAGTCAATTCAGCATGTTTATTATGTCATAGCAATCTCCATGAGAGCGAGTGTCTGACCAATCAGGAATCCATCAACTATGTAGGAAACTACAATCGAGGCAGCAACAACAACCCCTATTCTAACACATATAATCCTTGATGGCGTCAACATCCAAACTTCTCGTGGGGAAATCAAGGAACCAACAATACTAATCAGCTCGTTAGGCCTCAGAATTTCAATGACTCCCAAGGTTTTCAAACGAATATGCCATGGCATAATTCTAACAAGGGAATGCCATCTTCATCCAACACAAGTTCTTTGGAGGCCACAATGCAACATTTTATAGCAATCACAAAGACCATGCTGCAAGACCATTCGACCTCCATAAAAAACGAAGGAGCTTTGCTTCAAAGCCATAGCTCATCTTTGAGGGTGTTGGAAAGTCGGGTTGGTCAAATTACCGTGACATTACATGAACGTCAACCCGGTCGTCTGCCGAGTGATACTGAAGTGAAACGTACAAAAAACACGAAAAAGAAAAGGGGAGAACATACAAAAAAAAGGAGAGAGAAAACCCATTTTGAAAGAAAATATTACCTGAATCTAGAAAGGCTCTTTGATTTATTCATCAGAGTGAAACGTTTCCCTTGAGCACTGAAGTGAAGGTTAACATAACATGATATTAGGTTTCTTTTTTTAAGTCTAATTAAGAGTTATTAAAACCAAGGTACTGTCGTTTTGGGCTGTGTATGTTTATGAGTTTTTGGGGTTTATTTGTATAAGACTCCATCCATGTTTGCTTTAAATGCAATTAGGTCCTCGATCATGGCTGTTATAATTCTTGATTTAATCCTTTTGTTTACTTGCTTTACTTTTTAGTCCCTTATGTTTAGCTATTTCAACTTTGTGCTTATTTCGTATTTGATGCCCATATTTCATGTTATTTATGTGTTAACCCTCAACCTTTGCAATATTTATTATTTTATCCTGTAAGTTTCTGCTTCTGTTATTTAAATTACCACTTGATAATTGGGTCTACCATATTTATGGAGTTATTATTTCTAACTCACCACTTGTACATGTTTTCTTTAGTAGTTTGTAATAGTCTTCATACGTGTAACTTGTTGGATGCATATGCCTGGGATTTAAATTTTGTTGCTTTGCATTTTAATCATCATTTGATTAGTAACATATTGTGGGTTTAATGACTGACTTGGTTTATCAATGTTTTGTTTGTTGTATTTTAATCCTTGAAGTTGTTACGATGATTAATTCATGTTTTGGATCGTTCTGGTTTTGTTAAATGTTCGTTCTAGTCACCCTCCTAGTTTAGCTATTGCATAAAATAAAATAAACTTATTGTTAGTAGGTCCATATAGTTGTAGTTTAGTTCTGATTTAGTTTATTAATCTTATTTGTTTAATATCTATGCTTGTTCTAATTTATTAGGGATTAATACGACTCACGTGCTTTAAAATTTTCATTAAAATGTCAAATCGTCCTTGAACATATTGATTTGAGAGTGAGAAATATGAAGAGAAACACCGTGAGTATTACAACCATTAACATATTGATTTGAGATGAACATTGGCCAGTCACAGGAAGTAACAAAACCTTGAACACTAAACTAATGAACATGTAATTAACCAAATAGCACAGCCTCCCGTTTCAATACCATCTGGAAACAAAATTCTACTGTACATATGAATTTTGCTGTTTCAGCACTCGTTGGAAACCGTAAGTACACCGCAATATCGTTCTTCGATCCAACTTCCATGTTCAGCTACAAATATGTTCGACCAGCATTACTCTGAAACAACAGCCTCTTGATCAACCCTCCAATAGTTTGCATCATTGAACTCCTTTACCCCACCACCACCAACTTCATCGGAATTCTCCTTTTCGGGTACCATAGGAATGATGTTCCTCTTCAATGGTCCTGCTTCACCAACTAACCCTTCTTTCAAGGCTTGTTCCATTGCCTTCTCCGTGCCTTCTGATTCCAAACCCACGAACTCGACGTCCTCTTCAAATAAAGAGCGCACAGGCGGTGGAGATTTCGGACTTACATCACTGCTTGCCGATCCGTCACTCGTATCCATAGAGTCCGAGGAACCGTTTTCAAGTATGAATTCCCTATTAGAGGGGATCACTCTATCTGCTTTTACAGGTACATTGACGTCTGAGCTGTCATCGTCGAGAAATGGGTTCTTGCTCGAACCACCAAATTGGAAATCTGAAGGTGGTTCTCCCCAGCCCACCCACTCAGGTAAAGGCCTATCTCCAAACAAGTCTTCGTTTTTGGTTGTATCAAACCTGAAGAATCCCATATCGTTAGAAGCTGTTTTCTCCCCCTGGAGATTCAAGTCTCCACCGCTCATGGAATTGTTAAATCCATTCGTCGAATTGCATGTGGATGTGCCATTCATAGACTGCTTGATTTCATTTAACTCATCCTCCTCTCCAACTACCACCTCATCATCACTACTGCTGTTACCACCATTTGCGTCGCCATTCAAGTTAATCTCATCCATTACCTCTGTGGGGGAAGCAGCCATACCGACTTTGTCGTCTTGGAACGCAAACCAGTTGGAATTTGTGAACAGACTGCATTGGAAAAACATGGGGTGTAATCTCCATTAATATAGCTACTTCAAAAGAATTAAACTGCATGATAATGATGAAGCAAAGGATAGTTGAACATTCATCGGCCGAAGTACTCCGTTACTATGAGTAAGGACAGGAATGCTCACCTCCCTTGGTCATCACCGAGCCTCAAGGATGATATGACAACCTCAGCAGATTCATCGTCGAAGTACACATCCTGCAAATTGGAAACATACATTCGCCATCAAGTTTGACACTAACAATGACAAAATCAAAAATGCTTCTTTGTTTTCTTTCTCCAAAACTCATACCGGTCTTTAACAAATAGCCTTAGGTCATGTTTACCATTGATTGCTTTTTAATAGACAATAGAAGCCAATAAAAAAAGTCATCCTCTTGGCCTCATATATAAACTAGGGGTAAGCATTCAATCGAGTCGAGTAAAAAAAAAAATCGAGTTATTCAAATTGACAAGTCTTATTTTATAACTCAAACTTGATTTAATTTTTTTTCGGATCAAGTCCAGTCGTTCGAGTTTCTGTTTAAACTTAATTATAAATATTTATAATATTATAGTTTGATTCCAATTTAAACGGCTTTCTATAACTATTTACAATACATTTATATTTCTTCATATGTGAATGTGATATTCATATATTTAAAATCAATCCACTAATTGCTAAAACTTTTGAATTATTCAAGTTACTATTTGAGTTATTCGAGATCTATTTTAAAACTTGACTCGAATTTGGATTTTTTTTAGTCGAGTTTATGAAATTACAACTCGAAATCAATTCGAGTTGAGGCAAAAGGGTCAGTTTTTCGAGTCGGGTCGAGTTTTGCGCACCCCTATGTATAACCACAGAGAAAGATTCTAATTTATAAATGAATACCAAGAAATCAGAGTCACTTACCTCCTCATCTCGATCAATATCATCCTCGTCGCTATCCCTTGTTCTGTCTTGGAATGCTGTTGGGCGGCTGGACAGGAGGAAGAAAAATACACGACTCTTTAATTGATTTTTCTGTTAGATCTCACAACTTTACCATTGCCGCAACTGGCAAAAATGTGCTAACACCAAGGCATGGATTAAAAAAATGGAAATACCATTAGAATTTTCACATTAGTAAGCAGAATAAAACACGGCATAAATAAAGCAAGAGAACTAGAAGACACATTTCACATCTCATTTTATAAGTTGAAAATCTCTCATGCAACCATGTAGAGTCTGAGTGCAAGCACTCTCACAAATGCCATACCAAGCACCAAATCTAGAAATAATCAACTTAAATTAAAAAGAAATCCAACTAATCAGAATGCCTATCAGAAATGAAACAAGTCCATACCCACAAGCCCATCGATAAACATTTTCAACTGCATTACGTTCTTGCAAAACATTAACTTGCCACTCATTCCATTCGCAAACTTCCTATAAAGAAATTTAGAAAGATGTGTCAGCAAATACAAAAAAAATTAGTCAAATAATTCAACCTTGCAATTCTAGCCAATGAAAGATATGACCAATGTGTCAAATAAAACAATACTTGAGCTTAATTCAAATTAACCATACCACATAGGAGATTCGTAGTCTAACTTTGATTATAACAAAAATTGTTAGCTTAAATAAAAGATGTGCCTGCACCCTAGAAGATCCTGAGAAGCACTCATACAACATTAACAAGCATCCAATTGCCCACCTGTAGACATGCCTTAATGCGGCTGTTGTTGCTTCCCAACTGTAGAATTTTATTTGAAATGCGTGTAATATGTCCAATGTTTCCTATCCGAGATGCACATTTTCCAGCAGCAGGTAAAGTTGGCTGTTTGACCAGAGCAGGTTAAGCTGACTGCATAACCATGTAGCTTTATAACAGCTGTTAGCATAAATGGAAAAATAGTAATATAAATTATCTACCTGATTACCGTCACCAGAAAGAATTGGATTTTTGTCAGTTTGAAGAAATTTCTCAATCAAATCACATTCTTGAAGAAGATGATCAACTATGGAATCATTCTTGCTTTCAAGGCAGGATAATATTATACTTTCCACATGATGATGTAATGCATTGTTGTATGGGTACCTGCATAATTCGAAACAAAAAGACAAATCTTAGCATGCAGACAAAAAAAATCCAACATCTAGCTCAGGAAGGTATCAAGCACTTTGTTCTATATTCAAACTCCAATAAGTTTCTAACTATATTCAAGATAACAGTTTTAAGCAAGAGCTTACTTGAAGAAAAGATCAAGAGCTCGTTGAATGGTTCCTGAGCTCACCAATTCCTTCTCTGCAGCTTCATTTCCATTTCTTAACAGCAAAGCAATGAACTCCACAATCTGATGTAAAAGGAAAAAAAATTAGATATCACACAAACATAATTTTTCACTTGCTCCTACTGCCCTACAAAGTTTGATATACATTACAAACATCCAAAAAATTAAAACAGGTGTTTGTTTGAGCATTCCATGTTAGTTGGCACATAAAACTTATGATGAGAATATAAAATAAACCTTTAGACGATGCTTCCCGAGAGGCGGCCTCAATTCTCCATATGTGGTAGGCAAAATTTTCTCATCAGAGGAAACATTCAGTAGCATGAGTAAGTTACCTGTACAAACAAACAGTGTTGAACGCCATCGCTAAAATGAGAGTCAATATGTTCCATGCGCATAGGAATATACAAAAACTATTACATACAACTATCGGCAAAAGAAACCCACTCACCGAGCTTAGGCAACATTGCATATATAGTCTCCGAATTCACAGGGATTGGAGGCTCATACATATGTTGATGTCGGAAAGAATGCATCAAGGGAGAAACAATTGCTGATCCTTTGGGATCCAATAATGAGATACAAACTGAGAGTGAGTGTATAAGGCCAGATTTTGAATGTGAATCTTCCAATGCATGACTAAATATCCTTGAAACAAAGCTGTGTATGAACATATCCAAAAATTATAGGTCAAATCAAAAAGAAAAACAAAGTAGAAAACTGAAATGGTGATGCAAATAGGAAGGGAACACAAAGGAACTCAATCTCACAAACCTTGGACTAGAGAGTTTAGTCGCCAAGGCTGACGGGGCATTCCGTGTTATTGCACATAATGTTTCTGCTGCATTAGCATGAACTTCAGGAGGACACTGTCGATGTAAAGGAACAGGTTGTGAGACACTCACTACAAAAAGTATGGCATGCCATGAAAATAGTAAAACAATTTTACATCATGAATATGACATAAAACAGAAATTGCTCTCTTACAGATGGACTCAATTTATCCACAATCATTTCCAGCAAATCACTATCAGCTAACCATTGCATTACATCCAAAAAATTGGGATATACATGATCATCACCTCCTACTAATCGAACCAAAACCTGTGAAAATAACCATGTCAAGTCAATGCTCAACTAAAAAGTATTAAAAGGCAACCCATATAAAATCCACTAAAGCAATAAAAAAGCACCTCCATGATGGATGTGATTCCTATCAAATCAACCATTTGGCGAAACACATCTTGATGTACCTGTTAAATTTTTTTCAGTAAATCTCTATTTATAAATCAAACATGATTTCCTTTGTAATGCAGAGATTATAGACCACTAAGAAGCCCAATATTGTCATGCAAATCATTACACTCATAGTTTCACTACGGTACAAAACGCAGAAAACCAACCAACCAGATGAAAAGGATCTATAGTCACAGAATTGTTTACAGCACACATCATTTAGTAATTTTAAGAGAACTTACAGGAGACAAATCATGTAGGTGCGTCATGCACATACATGTCTCAGCAACTCCAGTTATCGAGATTTACAAGTTATTGAATGCATGACCAAACAACGTAAATGAAACATATAAGCAAATTTTGAAGGCGTTTTGATAGTAAGCAAAAAATGTTTACTTACTTGAACATAGTTCATAATTGGAACAGTCTTTCGTAGCATAAGGCACACAACAACCTAAAGTGCCACAGCAAATGAAACCAATCAACTGGTGATAATAACCAAAGCCGTAGTCAAACAAAATATGATATGAACCAGCAAGAAACTAATCATATTATGAACTAATATACCTTACTGAAATAACCGGCAAGCAAGGCACTGTGAGAACGGTTTGGTTCCAAGAAAGAGAAGAGTAAGTTGATCAACTGCAACAAGGAGATAAACATAAGAAACAAAATCATTGCAACCTTCATAACTAAAGATGCATAATCAATAACAAAATGAAATACCTCTTCCTCATCCACTAAAGTCTTCAGAATAACATCAATCTCACAAGAAAATATCTCAGAAGCTACGAATGGGAACCTAGATACAAAAATTAATTGATCATTAGGAAAAGGATTAACAAACATCAGATAAGTTACAAGACAAGGAAATACAATTATCTTCTTTTTTTTCCGATTCTTCATTTGATGAAAATTACTTACTTGAAGACTCGTTTTCTGTCAGCATCCTCCGGGGGTTCTTCAACAATATATCGCAATAATTGCTCAACTTGAGCTCTATTTCGCAGACTGTATATAATATAGAGTACATAATGAGCATCAAGCAAGACAAACCTCTATTACATTCAACAAAGACTCCGGCATACTAATGAACTACAAATTTAATCAAAAAGACAGACATAATGAAAGGAAAGAGAAGAGAGAGAGAGGAAAAGACAAAATGTTAAATAGGGGTAAAATTTACAAGTTGATGAGCCGACTGTTCAATGCTTTGCACTCTTGGATTATTTCTTCCTCATCGAGAAGCTCTTCCAAAGTAAAATTTTCCTTGTCTAATATTGAATCCACCTAAAAAGAAAATAAGTCAATGAAACGAACCAAAATTCCAGTAAACGCAACCAATCTAAACAAAATTCTTAGAACAATTCGTTGGATATGGAGAATGAAAATGATTCCAAAAAGCAAATCTGGACAACTATATATATATATATAGCTTAACAGATTTTCAGAGATGCAGATAACACTGAGCATGATAGTTCAACTTCAAATGAACAGAACTCCAGCAACTCCTACTAAAAAAAACATATTCAAGTTCAAATTCAATTCATCGAACTTAAAAGGAAATTTCCCAAAGAGGCAGACAAAACTAAGTGAGTGAACCTACTTTGCGCCGGCATCTACGAATCCAGAGTAATTTCAGAGTACCTAAGCTAAAAGAAAAACAAGAACTCAAACCTACAACAACAAAAAAGTAATAACAGAACTCGAATGAAAAAAAAAAGTTCAGACATCCGGTAAAATTACTCAAGAAAGGGAAGGAAAATCAATGCAGCAAGTATAGATTAAAGAAATCAAGGTTTAATTTTTAAAAAAAAAGGAAAAGAAAAGATAGAAATGGAGTAATAATCAATTAATCAAGTAGTATAAAAATTACTCACCGGAGAAGAGGCAGATAAAGATGTGAGCTTCCAAAACATGGCGAAGAAGAGGAAAGATTGAGTAGAGAATCTGAATAGATCTGTAGACCTTAAAAAAGTTACCAGTGAATCAATTAGAGTTGTCGAAAGAGGATGAAGAAAAAGCGCGAGAAAATATATAAGAAAAAACCCTAATTTTTTTAAAAGAAAAGAGAGAGATCGCCAAAAAAAATTATTACAGAACTAATAAGATAATTTAAGGTTGAAGAACGGTGAAAATACGACGATCGAAAATATTATAAAATATAAAAGTTCGTTTGGTATTAAAAAAAGTATAGATTACTTTTATTTAATTAGAAAAAAAAGTTCGAAGTGTTCTGTTGTAAAATTAAAAATATATATATATTTTTGAAAAATAAAAATAAACAAAAATATAGAAACATTCAGCATTTTTATTAAAACTGTTTTAAAAAATTGAAAAACAAAAAAACATAAAATTTAGATTTTTAATTTAAATTGAAAAAATTTAAATTTTTTATCAATATTTTTTGACTTAATAATATCCAAAACTCTCAAATTTTTGTAAAACAATAAATATGATTCCTAAATTGTTTTTTCATTCAGTTTGGTCTTTAAACTATTTTTATAATTTAATTTTTTTAATATTTTTATATTAATATATTAAATGATTGTTTATATTTTAAATTTAAATAATTTTTTATTTTTTTAAAAAAATTAAGTTTTTAACTTTTTTAAAAAAACAGTTGAATCCTCAAGCTTAGTTAAAAAAAAATCATTAAGCCCATCTACCATATCAACATCTATTATGTATTATGATATTAGCATTGTGAACTATCACATTAATATTGTATATTGTCATGTAAACATTGTAATGGTCACTATTTGGTCCTTCTAGTCAAAATGTTATATTGATTTTTTTCTCAATTTAAGAGTCGCATTTAGTGTAGAAAAATATTTAAAGTGAGTGATGAGTGCTCTAAATCGATATTATTTGCTTGTTAAATCTTTGATCTATGGATTTATTGTTGTTGATTTAGTTGTTTTATGCTTATTTTCGTGCATGAGCTTTCTTTCCAAAATTAATAGTAAAACGGGCTCATTTTGCATTTTATTATTATTTGGTCACGACTAGAGATATGGGCACGACTCTGGGCATGACACGGTCTGGCAATTTCTAGAAGGTCCAATCAACAACAGTTTCTAGAAGATCTAGTCAGCGCCTTCTGGAAGGTGGACGGACAGAGATATCTTAAGAAACTTATTTTTAAATTTTAAAGTTTGAATTTAGAAAACATATGAAATTATCTTTAAGATTATTTTTATTTTAATTTCTATGCTTATCTCTAGGTTTTTAGAGGCTATAAATACCCTCTTGAAGTAAGCCTAAACACAACTCGTATTCCAATATTCTTCTTACTTCTAGTTTTATAAAGTTTTTTGTTTTCTTCCCTTTTCAAGTTTTCATTTTTTATTTTATTTTAAATTTTATTTTTTTAAATGTTAAGTATGATTTCTATCATACTTAGCTAAGTTTTTCATAGCCAAAGGTTAAAGCGATGACTCGATTCTGAATCGTGAGAATCGAAAAGCACCTCATACTCTCTCGAGTTAAATTCTCAATTTTTGAAAACTAGATTGACAGATAGTCTTTCTTAAAATCAAAACGCTTTCACTTCAAAAATAGATTTTGGCTTGGATGATGTTATGGTTTACTATTGGGATTACATAATCAATTGATTCGAATTCCCTTGAACACACTTAGCGAATGGTACGCTAAGGGAAATTGGGATTAAGTTCGACTTTCATAGAGAAAGCATAATGCGGGTTGGGTTTTTCCAAGCGCTTTTAAATTGTTTTGAGTTAACAACGATAGTCGAAGTTAATCCGAACAAGGATTGTGATTCTTAAAATAGATTTGGGAAAGTCAATCACCAAAGAGGAAAATGAGCTACAAGGATTGAACCTTGAGGACTCACACCGGCATTTAACTAGAGGAAAAATCATATTCAATGATCGATTGAAATTTGAGGCACACGAAAGCCTGAGGCTAATTTCATCGTATTAGTTTTTAATTTTACTTTCTTCGATTTTTAATCTTCCTTTGAATCACTTTTGCTTTCTCAACAAACCCCATTTTTACTTACATTTTTTGCCTAGATCAAAGATTAAGAATAATCATTTTAGCATCTTCCTTAGTCTTTGTGGATCGACCCTTACTTTCTCTATACTATTATATTTATTTTTAATGATATTAAAGATAAATTTATTTGATAGTGAAAACGACGCGCTGTCAGTGAGTATCGTAATGGCATGCTATAAAAGCTGTTATTATTATCACATGAATTTGTTATCATGTGAGATGGGAGGATACGAGTCTCGTTGATAGGATTAATTACTGATACAAATGATCATTGATATGTTTGACCATATAATAAGAATGATAGTATTAATTCTTAATCAGTCATGATATCTGGTGTGAACGTATTCATTGTAAATTGATAAACTGAACATAGGTATGAGTTCAGAATTGCGGAAAATTGATAACCCCAACGTCATAAAGTAGTACGAGTATGTGCACGTTATGACTGTCATGAGCATGTTACCAATTAATGACATGATGAAGTAGTACGAGTTCCTATCCATGTTAGGTTTCGAGTGCATCGTTTGTCATTGTATTTCATAGGTAAGTTGGAGATGGATTTGTGTTTGGATTCAGATTATGACTTTAGTGGGTTTGATCCTGGCCTAGTAGTTGATAATTAGGTTTCTTTGGATTTGGGTGCTAAGTTTAGTAATGGGCTTTGATTTAGATTTGGATTTGGGTATTAAGAAAAATATGGGTTTGGGCATGGAAAAATTTGGGTCTACATGTAATTTTTACTCTCCATATTTACTTTTCGTGTTTGCATGAAAGGTTGTCTTGTTTTCTTTGACAGGCTCATATATGGGTGTTTGCCTAAGGCACAGTGGCTCACCTTTGCATCATTTGTTTTTATGTTGATGATTGTCTTCTCTTCATTGACCTAGATTGAAGCAACTATGTCTATCAAACCGTCTTGGTGGACTGAGGGTGTGTGATCTTCTTCAACTCTTCTACAAAACATTCCCGTGTAAGAAAGGTTGGCTCCTTCTGCATGATTTATCCTCGTTCCCAACCGAGATGAAAGTAAATTCCCATCTGGATATTTTTTGCACCAACAATCTTTCTTACACAAGGATATGTTACGGGCTGATCATTGACTGCAGGTTGGCGATGGATCTACCGTCCGGACGGATGCGAGATATAAATTTATAATATTTTAAGAGGTAATAAACTTATAAAATTTTAGAGGAAACGAAAACAGATTTTGAACCGAAAATACAAAAAAAAAATCTAAAATATACATAAATTGAAAATTTTAGGGGAACAACTATCCATATGTACCCTTGAATCCATCCCTGCATCCCCTCATTGATGAACACCAAGTACCCTTTGGAGTTGTAGTACGCATGTTCGAGCATATCCCAAATCTGTGGACTAGACAGTTGATCTTTGCGAGTTTGGGTTCACCACCTGCATTGGTTGCACTTTCCTCTTACTGACTTTTCTGTCTATTTGCTTGTTGTTTGTGTTAGAAAAAATGTTTAATCCGAGATAAAAATAATAATAATAATAATATTATTATAATCGAACGAAGCAAAATAAATAAAGAATTAAAATAGAGAAACATGATTTGTTTACTCGTATGTAGACACTGAATAGGATGAGTAGAGTAACATAAACTGAAGAAGAATTTTGTTGAGGCCTGTATGAACAGTTTCCTTAAGACAGATTCGTCCTCTCCTCGGTGCTTTGAGTAACGTTGGACGTCGATCTCCCAGGATACAACAACAAACGATCACAACAGTAAGCACAATCGTAGTGGTCAGTCGAACACAATCTTGCCTTTCTCTATCACCGGAAAGAACGAATTTGAAATGAATTTTCTAAGTGATTTCCTAATTCAACTTTGTGAATTGTGTCTCAAAGTTGACTCTCAAAGTTATATCTAAGATTGTGCCTCAACTAACCTATATAGGGGAGGAAATTAATCAAAAGGTTATGACCTTTTGATGAAGAGATTTATTGAAAAACTAATAGGTATAATTGAATTGATGCAATTTTATACCAAATAATAAGTATGTTCACCAAGTGACATAACTTATTATTAAAAGACATCAATTTTATTCAATTTGTAACATCCCAAAATACGGGTTAGTGACTAAATTGTAAAACTTCAGAATTTGGTGACTAAAGCAGAATAATTGAATAGTATTGTAATTTGGTATAGGATTAATTTGCAAGGAAGAAAGAATAGAATGACAAAATGGTCATTTGCAAGGAAAATAATTATTTGGTTATATTTATGGAGGCCACGTGTATGTGAGGAAGCAAATATACAAGCTTCCAGACAACTCTTCTCCTCCTTTCTTCTTTGTGCGTTTGAGCCAAGGCAAAGGTAAGAATTCTTATTAGTTGTTTATTAGTTGAGATTTAAGTTTGGTTTTGCTCCTGAGATGCTAATTTAGCTTAAGGAAAGCTTAATTTGCTTTAAAACAACAAGATGAAGGATGTAGGAAGAATTAAAGAATAAGAGTTCTTGAATGAAATTTTGAAATAAAGCTCATAATGAGAATTGAGAGTTGAATTTGACTTGCCACCAACTTGATTAATAAATATGAAGTGTTAGAATCAGATTTAGAACATGATGGATTTGAGTGAGATTCTTGAATTTCATGTGGAGGAATGGATTTTTAAGTTTAAGAGGTATTAAATGGATATTAATTAGTTTAAATAGGTGTATAAGAGTTAAAAATATAAAAAGAGGGGAAATATAAAGTGTTGAGAAGATTATGAAGAGATTTTTGTGCTAAAATAACATTTCTGGGCTATATGCATCGATGCACATTCAATGTGTATCGATGCATCAAGGGTAAAACCCAGAAATTGTTCAATGTGCATCGATGCACATGAAGTGTATCGATGTACCCCCTAAAATACAAACATCGAATGAGATTTATGCACCGATGCATAGATAGTGCATCGATGCACCCGTCAAGGGATGCATCGATACATGGGGTAGTGCATCGATGAATGCCTTCATTAAAAGTTGAAAATAGCTTTCTTTTTAGCCTAAGGAGTGGTAGTTTAGAATATATTAATTAGTATACTGATTAGTATCAATGTATTACTATGTATATATAGAACATAATTTCGTTCCAGAACAAACAAAGGATTAGGATCAAGTCAAAACAAGCAAGGCCAAGGTGAGTGCACATACTAGATAGAATTGTATGGAGATAAGACTTGCGATAATTCTATCTCATGATTTCATATTCATGTACATGCATTCACATATATATATATATTGAATCCAAATATTTCATGTATAATTCATTTATGCTTTAATATGATATTATATGAAATAATGAAATTTTCAGAGAATCAATCCAGGTATGTAAAATAATGAAAGTGATCATATGTGCTTATGTGAAAAGTAATGAAAAAGATATGAAAATGAGAAATGTATTCATATTTAAGCCCATGTGAGTTACTATGAGAGCTATAGGTATAATTGGCATGCCAAGAGTCGAGGGATTATCAGTGGTCCTTCGGGACATAGTGGTTCTTCGGAACAATCGGTGGTCCTCCGGGACATAGTGGTCATTCGAGACAAATATTCAGTGCCCCTTGAGGGAATTATACGAGCTGTGGTGACAGTATAGTGCACAACCTCTATGTACTCGCATACCTTTGTTCTCAATAATGTACATGGGCAATCTAAAGATAAATTAAAGTGAAATTAGCATGAGAATGTATGTGTTATGTGTACATGATATCATCATATATATTATAGTGAAATAGAGGCATGCAAATAAAGTTGTCATGATCATATGGAAAGCATGCATATTTATGAACGCATTGTTATATTTATAAGTTTATTTATCGCCTCACTAAGTCTATGACTTAGCGTGTAAGTGATTTACACGTAGGTACCAAGAATTTGGAAGAACAGAAATAGGAGTGGCGAGAACAGCAACACTGCTAGAAGATCAGATCAGAAGTAACGAGTAAAGTATGTCTTTTGTCGTGTATAGTGTTGGCATGTAAGAAAAGTGTCAGTTATGAATGCTCTGATCAATTTTGGTTGTTTTGGTCATTTCATGTAAATAAACCGCTTCTATGTTAATGAAAGTTTTAAATTTTCCTTGAATTTGGTTAAGAGTCAAAGTTTGAAAAGTCAATGTGACACCTCAGACTCGTATTCGGGTCGGATACGGATTGGGGATGTTACACAATTATTTATTAATTTTTCTAATGATCCCCACATGAATGAAATTGATGATTTCAAACACTTACTCGATATGGTGATAGATTCTACGTTCGATATTTGCATAGGATAGGTAGATGTCCCCCTTTGAACCTTCCCTTGTGAAAATATGTTTACCTTACTGGCTGTCCAGTAGACGTGATGTCCTTGAACTGTCTTGCCGTTGGTGTAAGCGATGACATACCTCACACAAATATCTCACTGACAAGAATTTGATTCTCATGGTTATGTCCATATAACCGTGGACATCTCCTGGTTCTAAAAGAGCTTAGAGAACTATGCCCCAATAGTCTATTTGAAGCGGCTCCACTTCACTCTCACATAGGTGACTTATGTTGTTCGGCTCACCAAAACACATAGTGGTCATTAAAAGCATTGCTTAACCTTTTCCACATTTTAGTCACTGTTTTCATCATAGGAATTGACTTGGGGATAAGAACCCCCGCAGTGACCCCACAAGGTCTATGCAAGTAGGTTGTCCCATTGAACTTAGATCTTGGGATCTCCAGTCAACTAAGTTGGGTTTTCCTTCACATAGTGCCTTAAATATTAATGGGTTTTATACACATTCCTTTTGATGTTTATCAACTTGATCTCGATTCAACTCATTGTTTAGCGGATCCACAATGTTATCTTTTGATTTTACAAAATTAATATAGATAAGTCTAGTTGAGATCATTTGTTTAATGATATTATGTCGACGACGTATGTCTCGACTTATCATTATACTTATATAAGGCACCCCACACTTTGATGTAGTTGTAGGAAAATTTTCTACGTTTCCATAACTCATACGGTGTCTCACCTATTTTCTTGTAAGTTACCTTATTTAAAGGTAATTTGCTAATAAAATAGCTTTCTTCACATGTTCTGTGACAACTCAGAACATGGCCAAAAGTCATTCATAATTCTTTAGCGATTTTATGGATACTATACACTTCATATGGTGTATCTGACAATCCATTCAAGATGTAATTCCGACATAGAAACTTAGAATGCTTTCAAACTTTAATGACAATAATGTCCATCTCATCCTCTCTATGAATATGAGGATCATCTTATATTTGACCATATTCAACATGATTAAATATAACATCTTATGTTGCTATGTCTTGAAATTCTATCCATGAATTTCACATGCTTCTCGCTGTGGCTCACAACCACTGACATCATTGAATTTTATTCAAAGTCTGAATGTGAATTAATATTTCAAATCACGGGTTAGGTGAATCAGTGGGGTTACCATTGTTTCGTTTAAAACACATAACCAAAATTTGTAAATATTCCAACAATAAATTGAAAGTTAATTCAATTTATTTTACCATTTGTTTCTGTTAAACAACAAAATTTAATTAGAAATTAAAATTCTAAAATAAATTTTGAAACAATTTTATTACCTCCAAACGATTTCTGTTATCAACAGTAAATTAAATAAATTTTGTTGAACAATAGGATTAGAACCCTGAAACAGAATTATATGCCCGATTTTTGTTCATAGACATATCATAATTCCTCTCGGTACCTTATTTATCGCAATGAATTTTAGCCAAAACTAAAATTCAATAATTAAGTAATTTCTATTAAACGGCGAGAATTTAGTAAAATTAAAATCCTGAAACAGAAATTCACAATCAACAATATTTTTGTTGAATTCATTAAACGTCAAGATTTAGTAAAACTAAAATCCGAAACAAACCAACTTCTGTTGGACAATGAGATTAAAACCCGAAACATAATCAATTTTTGTTGAACGATGAGAATTTAATAAATTAATTCTCGAAACATACTAACTTCTGTTAAACTGTGGAAATTTAATAAAACCCGAAACAGTGATATAATTTTAATTTATAATTATTATAAAAGAAATATTAAATGGTTACACATTCTTTTTCGATTTCTTTGTCCAAATTCACCATTCGTTAAAAAAAATAAGAGTCTTATCAAGTTAATCCAAGGTTTGTCTTTAATTTTGAAACCTGCAAAATGTTTCATAGCGAATTTGAAAAGGTTTTGCAAAAGGTTTCATATGTACCTTATCTTCGATTCACCAAGTATTTAACCCTCAACAGGTGTAATGATTAAAAAACAAATTCTGCATGAGGTGCAAACTCCAAATTACTTTTGGAACTTGCTTTGGCACGGGTTTCTCATTTTGTTGGTTTTCCAATGACGCTTCAGTAGTATATAGTTAGGATTAAACTTAAACTCAAAGAATCGATTTCCTCTCGGATTAAAAAAAATTAAGAAATAATCTATCTTAAGATTATTAGAAAAATGTTTAATCTGAGATAATAATAATAATAATAATAATAATAAAATAAATATTATTATATAATCGAACGAAATAAAATAAATAAAGAATTAAAATAGAGAAACGTGATTTGTTTATTCGTATGTAGACACTGAATATGATGAGTAGAGTAACATAAATCGAAGAAGAATTTTGTTGAGGCATGTATGAACACTTTTCTTAAGACAGATTCGTCATCTCATCGGTGCTTTGAGTAACGTTGGATGTCGGTATACCAGGATACAACAACAAACGATCACAACACTACGTACAACCGTAGTGATCAGTCGAACACAATCTTGTCTTTCTCTATCACCGGAAAAAACGAATTTGAAATGAATTTTCTAAGTGATTTCCTAATTCAACTTTATGAATTGTGTCTCAAAGTTGACTCTCAAAGTTGTATCTAAGCCTCAACTAACCTATATATAGGGGAGATGAAATTAATCAAAAGGTTATGACATTTTGATGAAGAGATTTGTTGAAAAACTAATAGATATAATTGAATTGATGCAATTTTATACCAAATAATAAGTCTGTTCATCAAATAACATAATTAATTATTAAAATACATCAATTTTATTTAATTATTTATTAATTTTTCCAATAGTTTGGACTCGTCTTTATTGTGCTATTTTTTCCTGCCAGTGCAGAACTGATGTGCTTTATTCAAAAGAAGAGAAAAAATTAATCTCTGATTTAAGATCATATGAATTTTTATATCAAACAAATGAACATATGAGTTTTTATCTAAAAACATAAAAAAAATCATTTATTTTAAAAAATAATTAAATTTCCATTTATTTTTTTTAATATTTAAAGGTGTATGATTTTTTAAATAAATGTTGTGTACAGAGACATGTGAAGATGGTATAAAGTTATTAGAAATTTACACGGTGTGTAATTACAAATTTTTAGAATATGTGAAATTAGGTCATAAATAAAAAAATATACCTAAACTATATATAAATTTGAAACTTTTAAAAGGTACAATCACACCTCCAACCCTCTTCGATCTTTCCTAATTACTTAATTGAATTCATAATTCAAATTGAAGTGAATAATTACTTAATTTAATTCATAATTCAAACTAAAGATTCTCTTCATTTTAAGTAGAACTGTAAAGATCTATTTGATATATAAACACTAACCACAAGTTATGAATAAGGTGAGCATAATTATATGAATCAAAATTCTGGTCTTTGAAATATTATAAAAAAAATTAATTGCTGCTCTCTTATGATGTTGACTTCGAGATTAAATTATATATTTTTTATATTAATTCTAATCATATTTAGAAGGGAGTCATAAGAGTGAGCAAAACTTGATTCAATTCGAAAAATTGATTTTTTGACTCGATTCGACTCGAAATTTTTTTAAGTTTAAATTAAATTGTAAAATACAACTCGAAATAACTCACAAGTTTTATAATTAGTGGATTGATTTTCAAGTTTAAGTCGAGTCCCTCAACTCTGTATGATATATGTATATTAAGATAATAATATAGTTTGGTATAATTGCCATTATGATTTAACAAATACGTACTTATCTCTTTCAGTTAGGTTAGAAAAAAATCTCATATTAAGATGATAATACAGGTTTTTTTCTTTGTTCTTCTATATATTTTTTTGTTCTTCTTATTGTTTTATTCTTTCTTATTTTACAACACGTTATCAGCACGACTTGTTCAGAAGCAATAGTTTATTTACGTCGAAGATCAAATTTATCTTCCACGACTCTTCGTTCATGATTTTAGACAATATAGATCGAATTTTCAACCATACCAAAACACCACAATCTTAGATGAGTACATTTCATACTACTTTTGATATGTTAGTATATTTTATTTTTTTTAGATAGTGATAGTATATTTATTTTAATTTGATTATATTTTTATATTTGATTGAAAAATCTTATATTGATCTTTAATAATATTATAATAATAAATGATAGTATATTTTGTTATTTTATGTCAATGGAGTTGTGAAGAGCCGATTCTTAATGCCGTATCCATTTTCATGAATGTAAACTATAAAATAAGTATAGTTTTTTTTCATAATTTCCAAAGATGTGTTTTGTACCAGAAATTTCAAACGCTATATTCCATTTCGTTTGAAGTAGGAATAATAAAATTATGGTAGAAGGATAATTTTTGTTTTTGTAGTAGATTTAATTTATCATTTTTATTTTTATCGTATTTTTACATCAATTTAATTTTTAAAGTTGCTCAATTGCATCAATGTTTAAAATACTTAGGTCCCTAAAATACTATTATACTAAAGCCTAATTTTTGTCCCTTAAGTCGTACAAGTTTTTTTCCACCCAGACGAAAAACGGTGACAATCAGGGGCACTTTGAACTTTGTTAAAGGGATGGTCAAAACTAAACTTAGTAACAAGACTATGAACATAGTGGATGATGTAAATAAAAGATTTTGTGATAGGTGAGAAATTCTGGTATGGGGGCTGCCTTTGTTTTTGTTGGTTGCTTGTTAACTATCATTTGTAGTAGGTTTCTGCTTTTGGATAATAAACACACAATTTATCCAAAAATAAATAAATAAATCAACTTCCAAAACAAGGATAAGTAGTTCAAACACCTAAAGGTGTAATGTATAAATGATTAGTCATAAGATATAAAATACAATTTGAATCACTAAGTTTTTTACTTTGTAGTGGATGTAATTACTTTATTAGTCTGACAAATATGGAAAACTCTATGATGCGTCTAATGATTTGTGGATTCCTATATAGTGATATTTATATGACCAAAATCATTTGAAAATTATTTGAAACTTTGTACGAATTTATTTCATTAAATATTTAAACATAATGAATCAGTCTAGGTATATATGTAAGAGCATACTTGCACATGTGTCTTTATAAAAACATTAATATCAAATTATGATAATTATTGTATACTTTGAATTGGAACTCTTTGACTATTTAAAGACTATATTTGAAATATAAATCTTGAAATCAAGTTTTTTTCTTGATTTGTAGATTGAGCACTTAAATATTCTACTGATCCATTCAATTGGTAATTTGAATATAGGTTCACTGGTGTATTATTTACTTGAACATTTAAAGATTGTATTCAAGATTGAATTATAATACTCAAAGATCTTATATTGTCATTAGGGAGAGTAAATACACAATGCACTCTTTTTCCCTTAACCAAGGTTTTGTCCCGCTGTATTTTCATGGTAAGGTTTTTAATGAGGCAACATGTTATGCGTATTAAAAATATGTGTACTATTTTTCCTTCAATAAGATATTTTTCCCACAGGGTGTTTATCTTAGTAAGGTTTTAACAAAACACATTATCATCATAGACATCCTAGGGGAAGTGTTATGAATATTTATTTATGTGAATGTCTATCTTTATATATAAGATAAGATTTTTGATATGCACTATTATTAGATCCTTTAGATCCATTAGTACTAGAGTTTTTTTTTATATTACATCAACTACTTATAGCTATAAATATAGAGGTTAGCGAAAGCATTGTACACAACTCATATTGAGATAATGATATAGTTCTCAATCATTATTCTTATATTTCTTATTGTTCGTATTCATCTTAATGCTTCGTTCTTTCTTATTTTACAACAAAATGAAAGTTTTATATTTTTTTAACAATGACAATTGGATTTCATTAATAAAAGTAAATGAATGAATTAGAATTACAACATACTCAAGCATTGAAAGAAAGATGGGGACAATAATTACACAAAAAACTCATGCAAAAACAAAATATTAAACCAAAAGATACGAAAAAATGTGAAACATTCCTTGAAAATGATGATAAATATTAAAAGAATTCAATAACCTTTATAAAAACTCATTGTCTCTATTGAACGAAACGCTTTATGAAGTGATAAATGAGTAGTGAACGAACCAAACTATCTAGCAGGCTGCTTCACTACACAATTTTGATTATATAGACAAATAATATTTTACCAAAAAGAGGAGTTGACTTTACTCGACCACTGACAAACCAATCTAAAAACAAATATTGTTTAAGTCTTTGTGAGAGTCCCACAACAATCACAAATATGTGTGAAAAACGTACCAAAAGTCATAAGGATCGGGCCACAAGAGTAGAGAAAACACGTGTGACAAGAACAGAGAAAACACGTGACATAAGAGTAGAGAAAGCGTGTCCTAAGGACATATATTCTTATTTAAAATTGAAAGAAAAAACTCAAGGTAATATAATATATATATATATTATAAAAAAAGTGAACTAATAATCACTGACGATCGAACCAACATTAAAATTGGTATCACCGGAGACTCATTAAAAATCAAAGAAAAAGAGAAATACGACACAATAATGTTAAAAAAAATTCAAGATGACTTCTTGAAAGTTTTATAAATTATACTTATATTAATTGAAACATATATATTATGTTTAATATATGTTTTTATTAGAATATAATATAATTTTTATTTTAATTCGATAATGATCAAAATAATTTTACAAATAAATATTTTTTCTTATTATTTTTAATATATTATACTCTTTCAAAGTAACTTTTATTTTTTCAATTTGTATTTTATGATAACCTATTATAGAATCATGATATTCTAATCGGTGCATTTTCTTGTCCGAGACATTGTATATCCACTCATCAACTTCTTTTACTATCATTTTGCCTACACGGTAGAAGAAACAATTTTATATTTATTGGAACATGTGAATTCTTTTTACAAATATATTATTGTTTAGTATTAATATATTTAATATTTGACCCGTAACTGATCCAGATCCACTGAAAGATTTATGCTGTTTTAGATTGTTGTGTGGATTACTTTCGTCCTTCCGATTTTGATAGGTACATTCATTGTCTATCTCTTTTTATTTTTATCATTTTAGATTTTAATTTCATTTAGTTTAATTTTGTTTAACGGATTTATTATCTTTTAGTTGTAGCAAACACATTTGACCGGTAATTAAACTGTTATTCTTTGATCTCTTACATTTTTTTTAGATTTTTGTTGGGGTGTTCACGATCGGTTTTAATCGATCGAGTTAAATTAGTTCGGTTAATTCGATCGGTCACCGAATTAGTTCAGTCGGAGAATGGTTAATTTTTTTTCAATATTCAATTAACGGTTAATTCGGTTCTAAATCGAATAATTAATCGAATTAACAAAAATTAAATATATTATGTATTAAATCTATATTTTAAACTCAAACCCATTGAGAATTAAAATCCAATATTTTTAACCACACTAAATTCATTAAATTATCAATATTTAATTAAATTTTAACCCAAATAAAGAATATCTCAATTACAATCAAATTAATCTAAGTAAAAATTATAATTTTTTTGGTTAATTCGGTTAACCGACCGAAATAACCAAACTTTGTTCGATTCAGTTAATATTTAAAAAAAAATCAGTTCGATTAACGGTTAAAGAAAAAAGCTCGATTAATTCTGTTAATGATAATTCAATTTGCTCAGTGACCGAATTATCCGTTTGAACACTCCTAGATTTTGAGTTCTAAACCCACTAGGAAGTAGAAACATTCATCTTCTTTCTCATAGTCTCCCATTCTTTTCCACTCTAAATAGAATTTCGATTAGATTTAGAATTTATATAAAAAGAATTATCATTTAGCGGTTGTAAGTCATGTTTCTTACTATTTGTCCTAACATGTTAATTAATTAATTAATTTAACCATTCTTAGTATTTTTACCTATTTATTTATTTTATGCATCATAGTTGATTGCTATTATTTTTTTTTCTATTTTACATTTTAAAAAAATGTTTCACATTTTCAAAGTTTTAAATTATGGATGTTGTAGAGGTGCACTAACCTTTTCACGCACAATCGACCTATGTACCTGATTTTTATGTTAATATTAGACACAAATTAAATTTAAAATTGTTCAACTAAAACAATCGATGATAACTTTATCTCTTCTTGAAGACTTAAAAATATTTCCAAAACACCAAAAAATAGTTTTCACATTATTTATTATCATTTCATTTTTTTTATTATACCAAACACCCACATTTTACATCATCGTGCTCAACCATTTGTCCGATGAGGTTCGCGAGCTCCTCCTCCTGAATCGGAGTAGTTTTAACGACGGCTAGTTTAACTCCTCTATAAATAACGCTTTAATCAAACACAAGATCTATTGCCTCTCTCTTAACGTGAAAAAGAATATTATATTAAATTATAGATATTACAATGAAAAAGGCATGTTTTGAGAGTGGCTTGGGCTTTGGGTGGATAAAATTGGGCCTACCAACTTGTGGGCCCTTCAATATTCACCCATAGAAATAAACGCCGCATCTGACGGACAAAGGACCTCTCCCTTCTGTTTCTGTTCCTTCCAATCCAATTGTAGTAAGGGTAAACTACACATTCAGCAGCTCAACTATCACTTTTGTTCCGTTTTAATCACTTAACTATTCTTTTTTTTTCAAAATCATGCCTAATATTTAATTTTTAATTCATTTTGGTCAGCCATCGATAAAAAACTAACGGTGATATTGATACGTCACTGTAAGATAATGCCACGTTATCATTGAAAAAGAAAAATATCAAATCAACAATTATGTTAATTATAATAGTTAATACACTAAATATATAATTTACCCTAGTAATAAATATCAAATCTATATTTGAATAATAAATACCAAATCATATTCAATACAATCTTTTTTTCACTTGCCTTATAGCTTAATTTTTCCTAAAATTAAATTAATAATATTAAATATTTGATACTTAACTGTTTTCCGTAAACAACTTCAGTTATCATTATTTAATCTTTAAATAAATAATTAGCAACACATAAAAATATCTTAAAACTATTTATACAAAATCCACTACTAATATATCACAAAAATATTCAGTTTAATAATTTAAAACTTATAATTTTACTTACAAGTTACATATTGTTTAGATATATAAAAACTATTTATTTAATAAAATATTTTTTTATAAATTCAGAAAAATAAATTATAAAATTATAACCAGAATAAATAAGATTATGATCCGCATACATATTGTAATTTTTTAATTTTATGAGTGAAAATAGACAACTGAAATTATCTCTTTATTTTATCTAATAAATATTTTTTTTATTTTTTACTATTAATCTCAACGGTCTATTTACATTCATCCAAAGATTTTAATTATGTATAAACCTAAAGATTTCTTGAATTTATTTATAAAAAAACTTTACATTGTGTAGTTAAATTCTATCCCTAATAAATATACTATTACTATTTTTCAAATAAAAATTGGAGATACAATATTCTTATTCTACAAACGGGAGCAACGAATTGTGTAAACCTTATCCATATAAGAAAAATTGAAAGGGCCCACACGACATTCAATGGCAGTAAATAATAAAATAAGTAATCAGAAAAAATATTGTAAATCAAGTCTTTTATGACTCGAATCTGAATCAGCACATCATATAACTAAAAACCCAACTATATCAACTCACACACAACACAATGGATAGAGCTTTCTCCTTCGAAGATCCCTTCTGGTCATCTTCCTCCTCCTCCTCCGCCGCCGCAGAGGACGATGAGACAACCGGTCCTACAATGAACCGTAGTGCTCCCGAGTGGGCTTTTCAGAGGTTTATTACAGAAGAAGTTGATAAGAAACGTGAAGATAAAGAAGAAGGCCAGACTAAGGGAGATCTGGAGAAGAATGGGGCGACGTCTTTTCTCAATGTCTGTTTGGAGATTAACAAGAATAGCAATGTTCCCGTGGATTTAGATGAATACCAAGCTGTTCTTAAGAACAAGCTTAACTTGGCTTGCGCTGCTGTTGCCATGTCAAGGGTAAGTCTTTTTTCTCTTGTTAAATATTGTTATTATTTTGGTCTGTGTGTTTAGATTATGAGAAACGGCGGGGCGAATAATAGGGTAAGGGCGGGAAAGTTTGGATCTCTAATGTTTTTCCTTCTTTTTTAAAATACATTATTTTTTTTCTGGGTTGTGTTTGGTTGTTGAGAAAATTTAAAGTACTTTTTTTGGGGGGGGGGAACTGTGTAGGTTATCCAAAATATTTTTTTAACATAAATATTTATAGACAGGGTTAGTGTAAATAAAATTTTAGAGTGGACAATCAAAAAAATAAATATATACTAAGAGAAAATTTGGATTTTAGGTGGATATAATCGAAAAAATAAATAACTATTAGTAGAATGGTTCGGATGTGCACAAACGTGGCTCCGCCACTGGTTGATTACACTCTTGGTATACCTGTCCATACATATTCGGATATGAATACACCTATAATTTTCTAAAAATACTAAATAAATTGAGCATATTCATGTTCATATGGGAGAGACGCACGTCCAAATCATTGTAACATAAACTAGTTTAAGGAAATCATAAAAAAGCTTATTGGTACTATTAATATCAGTTTTTTTTATCATTATTTGTTTTGGTTTGGTTGGTTGATGTTCATTATTCAGATTCTTTCTCCCTTGAATTTGGAAATAAACTTGGTTTGGATGCTTTCTAATGAGTTGTTATTGTATAAGGAAATATCTTTTTCCCTTAAAAAGAGTAACAATTATTATATCTATGTTACTCAAACTCGTGTGCGAGTTTTGGATTCGAGTACATGCCTATAATATTGATATGTTCAACTTTTTCTTCAAAAAGATTTTCATGTATTTGAAGTCTTTTGAGTACCATATTCCATATCTGTATTCGGGCTTATTATGTTATATACATATCAAATAGGCATCTTTTGTGAAACCCCAAGACTCTGCTGCTAGAGCTGATAGTGGATCACAGGCTTCCAATACTCTGCAAACCGGATCCAAAGCTACTTCTAAAGGTTTAAAATCATCAGTTCGTAACCAAAATTTCTTACATGAAGCTGTTCTTCGTACTGTTTTCTTTGTTGCAGTGTTCATTATATTCGTTTTCACTGTATATATAGGGACTAGTGATAAGGACCTTAATGCTCCGGTGGGATTTCCTTCCTCGCTCAAGGGACAAAAGAAGTCTGGAGTTCAGGTGAGGTCAAGCACGATTGGATCGTCAAGTGAACTGTCGGATGAAGATGAACTCGAAGGAGAGAATGAAACGATGGAGAATATGGATCCTGCTGATGCAAAACGTGTAAGGAGGTAAACGTTGCTTACCCTTTTTCTAGATTGCAGATAGCTTCACATCGAATAATGCTTGTTCATAATCATGCTTTTTATGATGCATATGACATTCAAAAATCTTCCAAGCTTCTTGAAAATTTGTACTCTGTTGAGTTCTATTCTAAGCAATCAATCCATATGGTGGTTTAGGATGCTTTCGAATCGAGAATTGACTAGGCGCTCTAGAAGAAGGAAGCATGCTCACTTGACCGAACTTGAGACCCAGGTGCCTTTGTTAGTTTCCTCTTTGTCTTTCTGCACCACCTTTGAGATATAGAATCCTAATCCGTTATTTAATGTAGGTTGCTCAACTAAGAGTTGAAAATGCCGCCTTATTGAAGCGTCTCTCCGACATTAGCCAAAAGTACAATAATGCAGCTGTCGACAACAGAGTTCTGAAAGCTGATGTTGAAACGTTGAAAGCTAAGGTAAATGACTTATTCGGTACTTTGGTCTTAAAATTGAGTTTCTTGCTGCATAGAGACTAGAGAGCCTGTTTGAATTCTGCAATGCTCAACACTAAGAACATTGATGAACTTTTTTCTTTCTCTAGGTGAAAATGGCTGAAGGATCGGTCAAAAGATTCACCGGTTTGAGCTACGCCTCAGCCGAAATATCAACAATGAGGATGTCATCGTTTGACGGAAGTCCCACCGATACATCAGCGGATGCTGCTGTTCCTGTACAAGATGGCTCAAAGCATCCCATATATCAGGCTGCTGCAAACAAGGCTATATCTACACATGACCTGAGAACCAACAATGCACTCTCGGACATTTCTTCGGTTGAAAACATACAACCTAGTTTGGGAGGATCCGCCGTACCGGAAAAGAAAATCAGACAAACAAATTCTTTGCAGCGAGTGGCTAGCTTGGAGCATCTACAAAAGCGTATCTGCGGGCGTGTGAGCCCCTGTAGGCTCCAGTTTAATGGTGAGAAAAAGTAGCAAGCACACAAAAGCATACCGTGAAACGAGATAAACTGAAGAATGTGTTGTCTTAGAATGATCAAATAGTACTGTAATTTCTGGTTTTAACTGTTGGAAGCAATGTTATTCTTTAGGTTAATTATGCAGTAATGGGCTAATGTCAAGTGCTGAAAAAGATTGATTAATCAATACACTAGTCGATTTTATGCAGTTATGACATTCGGTAGGTATGGAATTGAACGTACATCTAGACATTTGTACCTTTGAAATGTATTTTTTTCTGTTTTGTAGAAAGTGAATCACAGTACACATTGGTGTAACATGGAGACGGATAGCCTCTAAAGAGTTGACGGAGTTCAACTCAATCGGTTCATGTCAGAAAGCAATTTACAGAATTGCATTTAATAACAAAATTATTAATATTATTATGAACAAAAACAAACAAACCCAACCCCAGGTAAAGGGATTTGATGGAACAAATCTGATTTTCCAAAGGACGTGTTAATTAGGTAAGAAACGGTCCAAATGCATATGATTTGTTTTTTTATATCTTCTAAGGAGAAAATACAGAATTCTTAGAAAAACTCGCTGCTTACGTAATTATATCAACACTAATCAAATTTACAGTGAAATCCTAATCAAATCAGCAGAGACAGTTAAAACTTATTCTTGAAATTGCCAAAAAAGTTGGTTTGGATTTTTATCCATCTTTGAGACATCATCATTTGCTCAATCCTTGAAGGCACTAACGAGAGCTCTTTGTACATTGTCTAGCACAGTTCTTAACCCTCCCTGAGTTGCATCCGCTGGTGAAGAACCGCTGACCTCAATCGTCCGAGCCATCCTCTGCTTGCAATTCTCACACTTGTCAAGCCGCCACCAGTACGCCCTTCCTCCATGGCTTCCTTCCATGCCAAGAAACGACACGTTAGGGTTTTCCCCAAAGGAATATTTTAATCTCACCGAGACACAGTAGGGCAGCCATGCAGCACCCCCAGCAGTATTTATATGAGGTATATGGGCAGGATCAAGTACAACCGTCAGAGAAAAATCGACAGAGACATGACGTCGATCGTAGTGGATATTGCTTTTAGTTGCAGATGAACTTTCGGAAGCATCACCGATGTTCACCCTAGTATGATTTTCAAGACATAACTCGATTCGCGGTTTCTGAGCAGGAGCTTCATCTCCACTCTTTGTTAGTGCTAATTCTTCCAAGCTTTTAATTTCAGGAATTCTCGTAAAACTGAAATGGGTAATGTGAGAAGTGTAATGAATGATGCAACACGTGAGGCGTCATAAGGTTCGGATACAACACATCGGCTAAAGTAGTCGCATATCTCACTTATTTCGGACTGAGTTAATTCCTCTTGAGCATCTGCTGATGATGGAAGCGCTTCACGCTAAGAACCTGAACAAGAAGTTGAACTCTGTGGACGCTTACGGCAAACACATAGCCTCTGCAGAAACACATGTGATCAGATAATTATCCAAATCCGAACTACATATAAAATACACAAAATCGGCCTAAGGAGAGGATCATTCAACAGAATTAAACTGATCAGATAATTGAAGCAACCAAATTAATAGCGTACTTTGAAAATAAAATCAGCGAGTTCGTCGAAGACAAAAGGTTTCTTGCATGAAGAGAAGAGAAACATACTGTAACTGTAAATTAATCTAACCCCACAAAGAAACGCAAGGCAGGCTGTTCTTGGTCCAAGTTCAAAAGTGCACCTTCATTTTCCTTCAAGATTGATCCCAGGATCTCCTTCAAAAGTCCAGGTAACTGGCCAAATAACCACTGAACTCCGAGGTATTTAAGAATACCCCTCAAAACCTTCTTAAGAGCAACAAAGTGAACCCATCCACCACCATATCCTCCATCGTCACCAAACCCAATAATGGCAGTATTTAGTTCTGTTGAAAAATGCAAGGCTTCTAGATGGCAGCATTGTTGACAATTGCATAGGCTTCTAGATGGCTTTTGGTGGCTAGATGATTTCAAAGGTGGGCGGCTAAACAAGTGGGGTGGCTAAATGAGTGCTGCTAAATTTTTTATTGAAATAGAAATAGAAATATGGTTAATTATAAGATTAGTCTCTAAGCTTCAACTATAAATACTCTAGCCCATTTAGTTTCAAAATCATCCCAAAATTCTAAATGATTTCTTTCTCCCAATACTAAAGAGTTTTCTTGTGAGTAGTGAGTGTTTTGTAAACACCTGTAAATTTTCTCTTAGTAAAAGATCTGCAGCAGTCCGGAGACGTAGACACAATTGGCTGAACTTCGTTATCAATTTTTCGGGTATTATTTTTCCTCTTTTATTTCGCATTCTCACTAATCTGGTTATAGGAAAATTATTCGTTCTCGGTTTATTTCCCAACAACTGGTATCAGAGCTTTTGGTTGTGAATTTTGTCAATTCTTTGCGAGATAACTATTCATTACTATTCACATGAATAGTGAATTTCGTGAATAGTAAAAATTTTATCGACGATACGAATTTGTCGACGATACGAATTTGTCGACGAAGGTGTTCTTATACACGGCGGTTCGAGGAAATTGTCAAAAGCGATCCAAAGAAGCCAGATTCGAGTGGGAGCGATGGCTGCAGACGAAGAGAATGTGAAAATTGAAAAGTTCGATGGTGCGGACTTTGGCTTTTGGAAGATGCAGATTGAAGATTTTCTGTACCATAAAAATCTATATCAACCTCTCTCAGGAAAACAACCAGAGGGCATGAAAAATGAAGACTGGGCTCTTCTCGACAGACAAACCCTCGGAGTTATCCGACTGACGTTATCTCGCAATGTTGCTTTTAACATAGCAAAAGAAAAGACCACGGCGAGTCTTATGGCGGCTCTCTCCAGTATGTATGAGAAGCCATCGGCCTCAAACAAAGTTCATTTGATGAGACGATTGTTCAATTTACGGATGGCGGAAGGGGCATCAGTGGCTCAACACTTGAATGAACTCAACACAATCACAACCCAGTTGAGTTCCGTGGAAATTGAATTCGATGATGAAGTTCGAGCTTTAATTCTCTTATAATCTCTACCAGACAGTTGGAATGCTACTGTTACAGCAGTCAGCAGCTCGTCAAGAAATAGCAAATTAAAATTCGACGATGTTCGGGATCTAGTATTGAGTGAAGAAATTCGACGAAGAGAATCGGGTGAAGCATCAACCTCCTCAGCCTTGCACATGGAGTCTAGAGGGAGAACATCAGAAAGAAATTTAAATCGTGGCAGATCGAAACCCAGACGGGGAAAATCCAGAACGGGAAAGAAAGATTTTACCTGTTATAATTGCGGCAAGAAGAGTCACTTTAAAAGAGATTGTCGAGCACCGAAGAAAAATATCGGCGCACAGGAATCTGCCAACGTGACAGAGGAGACAGGTGATGCCATGATTCTAAGCGTTAACAGTTCGATTGAATCATGGATCTTGGATTCAGGGGCATCTTTCCACTCCACCCATGCCGAAAAATCATGGAGAACTATGTCAGTGGTGATTTTAAGAAGGTTCATCTAGCTGATGATGAAACCTTGAAGATCGTCGAAAAATGAGACATCTGATTAAAGCTGCCAAACCAGACCACCTGGAAGCTGAAAGGAGTGAGACATATTTTCGGCCTCAAAATAAATTTGATTTCTGTTGGACAGCTTGATGGAGAAGGTTATAGTACAACTTTTTCAGGCTGTGAATGGAAGATTACCAAAGGAGCACTCGTCATTGCTCATGGTAAGAAGACTGATACTCTCTATGTAACCTCAAACTGAGAGAATATCATTGCTGCAAGATGCTGATGAAAAATCAAACTTATGGCACCAAAGGCTTGGCCATATGAGCGAGAAAGGGATGAAGACACTTTTATCAAAAGGGAAGCTGCCGGATCTAAAGAATGTAGATGTCGGACTATGCGAGGATTGCATCTTTGGCAAACAAAAGAAAGTCATTTTTGCAAAGATTGGCAAGACACCCAAGGCAGAAAAGTTAGAGTTGGTTCATACTGATGTATGGGGACCATCTCCAATTCCATCTCTTGCAGGCTCACTATATTATATCACCTTCATCGATGATTCTACAAGGAAGGTGTGAGTTTATTTTCTGAAGAAGAAATCAGAAGTCTTTGATACCTTCAGAAAATGGAGGTCATGGTAGAAAATGAGACTGGTTTGAAAGTCAAGAGGTTGAGGTTTGACAATGGAGGAGAGTACAAAAACAGAAGATTCAGAGATTTCTGCGCAAACAATGGGATCAATATGGAGACAACAGTTCTCATGACACCGCAGCAGAATGACGTAGCAGAGCGCATGAACAGAACTCTGAATGAACGTTCCAGAAGCATGAGGATACATGCTGGATTGCCCAAATTTCTATGGGCTGAAGCTATCAACACTGCAGCTTACCTGATCAACCGTGGGCTCTCAGTTCCTTTGTATGGCAGAATACCAGAGGAAGTTTGGAGCAAGAAAGAAATAAACCTTTCACACTTAAGAGTGTTTGGCTGTATTTCTTATGTACACATAGACTCTGCTGAAAGAAGTAAACTTGATGCTAAGTCCAACAAATGTGCCTTTGTTGGTTATGGCGGTGATGAGTTCGGTTACCGGTTTTGGGACTATGAAAATCGGAAGATCATCAGAAGCAGAGATGTCATTTTCAATGAGAATGTGATGTACAAAGACAGGGGAACTATAGAATCAAGTAGCTCCAATACCAAAGCTGAAACAAATGAATTTGCTGAGTTTGAGGAGATTTTTGGAAATGATGTTCAGATCAATCCTGAAGCAGTTCAAGAAGAACCATGCACACCAGAACTGAGACGCTCCTCCAGAATTCCTAAACCAACCCAGCGTTATTCGCCTTCTTTGCACTACTTGTTGCTGACTGACAATGATGAACCAGAGTGCTATGATGAAGCAATTCAGGTGGAGGATTCAGTAAAGTGGGAGTCTTCCATGAAAGATGAGATGTACTCGCTTATGTCAAATCAGACGTGGGAATTAGCTGAATTATCACAAGGCAAGAAAGCGCTCCATAACAAATGGATCTACAGGATCAAAGAAGAACACGATGGGAGCAAACGCTATAAAGCAAGATTGGTTGTCAAAGGTTTTCAGCAAAAGGAATGTATTGACTACAATGAAATTTTCTCTCTAGTTGTAAAACTGTCTACAATCAGACTGGTGTTGAAAATTGTAGTTGCAGAAAATCTACATCTTGAGCAGTTAGATGTTAAGACAACTTTCCTTCATGGTGATTATATGAGGCAGCCAGAAGGCTTCATAGAGGCATGCAAGAAAAACTTGGTATACAGGTTGAAGAAAAACTTGTATGGTTTAAAACAAGCTCCTAGACAGTGGTACAAGAAGTTCGATATTTTCATGGATAGTAGTGGTTTTACCAAATGCCAAGGAGATCATTGTTGCTACTTCAAGAAGTTCGATAACAACTTCATTATTTTATTGTTGTATGTTGATGACATGCTTGTTTCAGGTTCAGACATGCAAGAGATTATAAAATTGAAGCAAAAATTGTCGAAGCAGTTTGCAATGAAAGATCTGGGCGCTGCAAAGCAGATTCTAGGGATGAGGATCAAAAGAGACACAAAGTCGGGGACTTTGATGTTATCACAGGCTGAGTACATCAACAAAGTACTCTCCAGGTTCAATATGCAAGATGCTAAACCAGTAATTACACCTTTAGGTGTTCATTTTAGACTCTCCAAAGAACAGTCATCAAATACGGAGGAAGAACGTGCACACATGGTGAAGGTGTTGTATGCCTCAGCAATTGGAAGTCTAATGTATGTCATGGTTTGCACTAGACCAGATATTGCTCATGCAGTGGGAGCTGTTAGCAGATATATGAATAATCCAGGCAAGGTAGGGAAGCTGTCAAATGGATCCTCAGATATCTACGGGATACTACAAACAAAACACTTTTTTTCAAAGGTGGAGATACGATACTGACAGGCTATGTAGATGCCGACTTAGCCGGAAACGTCGACATTAGAAGAAGCACTACAGGGTATGTATATACTCTAGGAGGAACTGCAGTGAGTTGAGTTTCTCAACTACAGAAGATAGTTGCTCTCTCCACAACTGAAGCAGAATATGTCGCTGTTACGGAAGCCAGCAAGGAGATGGTCTGGCTCCAAAGTTTCTTGGAAGAGTTAGGCAAGAAACAAGAGATCAATGTTTTGCATTGCGACAATCAAAGTACTATCTATCTAGTGAAGAATCCGTCTTTTCATTCCAGAACGAAACACATACAATTGTGATATCATTTTATCCAGTCTCTTCTGGAAGATGGGATTTTGAAACTTGAAAAGATTAGTAGAGCTCAAAATCCGGCAGATATGTTAACAAAGACGGTGACTACGGACAAACTGAAGTTGTGTTCAGCTTGGCATGCTAGAATAACAAGACCATAAATGATGTTGTATTGATCGAGGTGTGAAGACAGATTAAAATCAGTCTTCAAGTGGGAGATTGTTGAAAAATGCATGGCTTCTAGATGGCAGCATTGCTGACAATTGCATGTGCTTCTAGATGGCTTTTGGTGGCTAGATGATTTCAAAGGTGGGCGGCTAAACAAGTGGGGTGGCTAATTGGGGGCTGCTAAATTTTTTATTGAAATAGAAATAGGGTTAATTACAAGATTAGTCCCTAAGCTTCAACTATAAATACCCTAACCCATTTCACTTCAAAATCATCCCAAAATTCCAAATCATTTCTTTATCCCAATACTAAAGAATTTTCTTGTAAGTAGTGAGTGTTTTGTAAACACCTGTAAATTTTCTCTCTTAGTAAATGATCTGCAGCAGTCCGGAGACGTAGACACAATTGGCTGAACTCCGTTATCAAATTTTCGGGTATTATTTTTCCGCTTTTATTTCGCATTCTCACTAATCTGGTTGTAGGGAAATTACTCGTTTTCGGTTTATTTCCCAACAAGTTCCCCCCTAACATGCGCGGGAACACCACTACGAGGCAGTCGACGTATCGGCAATCTCGTGCTCTCAACAGCCAAATTCGATGATCCTGGAAGAGCATTTCCCACACGGTTTAAAGCAGCTAATTGGTTTGCTGCCCTAGACATTGCTGCAGAGGTAGGAAGGCCAACTCTATTTCCATTTGCCGAAAGCTATGGACCTGTACTCAAGTTCATACTGTTTGAATCTGCTGGTCCAACTGTTTGTAGGCCACTCGTGAAACCAGAATCTAATCCGTTTAGTTCTTGGGCAACATGCTCCATAATAAAAGGCCTGAACTGTGGACATGGTAAGGACCCTCCAATAGAATATCCCCCTCCAGGTGATGTTTCAGGTGGTGGTCGCTGGTTGCAGCCAAACCTGATCACCAGCAAAGCATCTCATGTCCACTGCAAAGCGCTTGCGATATATTATTCGTATCCAATATGGACCACGTAACACCTCTCCCGACAACCGCTAACATTGCAGCCCCATGGAGGCTATGGTTCCCCATAGATCTTGCAGAAGCAGATGCAGCAATATTTCCTGCTGGAACAACAATAGCCTGATTAACGTTTGTGGTTGAACTGCTTGGCAGAAGTCCCTTCAATGGAGTGTATCTTGAATGTTTTGGCACAGAAGATATAGCTCCAAATCCCCCAGAGACTCCAGGAGCAGGAGTAGCTCGAGCAGGCCGAGTTGCAGTAGCAAGCGCATGCAAAGGACCCGCAGGGAGCCGAATGCAGTCTAACAGAGATGCAACTTCTGCTCCATCTATGAAATCTTCCAAAAACTGTACAAAGTAATCATAGCAATTAGTATTGATGCGTAGTGGGAACTTATACCGATATCAGATTTGAGCCAAAGATAAGTTCCTCTATTATCCAGAATAATCCACATTATATCCAAAAGTTGAAAAGTGTCGTGTGTATTTAAGATGAACACATTCATGATTTAATGTATGCTTTAAGGGAACTCTTATGCGAGTTTGGGAAATAAACGACGAAGTTTTAATATATTTAAACCTAAATATCAAAACAACATTGTTTTGAATTTCGATTTTTCGATTATCCGAGTTTACAAAATCTGAACTCGAATCGAACTCAAAAACGAAAAAAAAATTTGAGTTGACTCGAATAATTCGAATAACTCGAAACTAAAACAAATTCGATTTTTCGAATCGAATCGAGTTTTACTCACCTCTATATATGGGGCAAAACTCAATTCAATCCAAAAACATTATTGTTTTTTCATTTTGGAATTAAAATATTGAGAACTTTCAATTTTAATTATATTTGAGAATCGTTTAATTTAAAAAGATTAAATGAACCATTGCTCCCATAAATTTTGCACATTGTCCCGAATTTTCTTTGAAGTATTTCTCAAGATATTTTATATCATGAAGTTTAAATCGTTATCTCATTTATTTTAAATAAAATATCGTAACAATCAAAATACGTCATATCAACACTTAATTTTAATTTTCTTTTAAAAGATAAACTAAATAATGTTTTAATTATTAAAAAAACATTTAAACCGGGAAATATTTATACGTGGTAAAAATGCTGTTCCACAATCGATCATTTGCTAATGCATTGGTACAGGAATTAGTTCCTTTTTTTAATCTATGGCCATTAAAAGAGTTGGAAAAATTATATCTTGATAAAATTTCTCATGAATCTGGGATTTGAACCATCACATCCATCTGTCACAGTCATCTTCTTCAATGAATGAACATTTAACTATGTAATAAGACGCTAATACATATCTGTAAGTTCACAAACCAAGTAATTATCTAAAAGTCTAAATATCTTAATCGTATATTGCACTGACTCTTATTCAAGACCCAACATCATATATCTCATCAAACACTAGAAGAAAAAAAATGAGATCACAAATTTTGTTTCACATCTAACTAGAGGATGTAAGTTGATACCAAATAAATAGTCATACGGATATTACTGTTACACTGACTCTTCTTTGTCGATTAGGCTTAATCATGTTCAACACTTGTGTCTAATATGTACAACAACGGACGCAGAATTTTGCAGAATTTTATGTTAGGGGGCGAACATAATTACCTCTCTTCCAAAATATCCAGAAGGAAAGATCTTTCCGAACATGTCTTATGCAGTATGTTCTTCAAGTTTCCTACTTTTAGCTTCTCGTGCATTTCAATCTTCCTAAATTGAGGAATTTTCTGACACATACGGTATGAACACAATTAGTTGCTCCTTCCCCTTCCCTCCCCCCCCCCCCCCTCCACCAAAAAAAAAAGAAAAGAAAAGAGAGAGAAAACCAGTTCAACTATGATTTAAGCAAAAAAAAATGTGTTACCTTTATCAGCCACACAAAGTAAACTGCCGAATACATCGCTTGTGCTTTGAAATCCTCAAATTCTGTATCTTGTATCAACGAGCAGGAATCCAGGAGACAAAATTCTTTATCCAAAAATATATTGATTTCATTATCCACGCTGGTTTTCTGCTCAGAATGGCATGAAATACCACACATGGTTGTCAAGTGTCGTATCCAACATAGGGACAGGAAACGACGATGAAGCCAGAGAGCCTGTGTAAGATAAAAGTGGATTGAAAAAAAATGGGATGTAGGCCATAGCGTCATCTGCCACAAATAGGCTGTATTTGCAATTACAAAGAACACAAAACCCACTTCACAAATAGACTAGAGCTTCATACCTCTCGCCCAATGTACCGCTTTATTAAAACTTCATTCAACTCAAGTTCCTCCTGCCCGGTACAAATTTTCAAAAGGATCAAATAAGCAAGTAGTAGATAAATTGTTCCATAAGGCATCAAGAATCACTAGACACATATCCATTAGTGCGGACTTGGATGAGTCTGCCATAGAAATTACCTTCAAGACTTGATATTTTTCCACATCATAAGAAAAGTTGCCATCTTGTTTATTCGGTTTACTCTCTATAATCCTGAGTATTAGCAGCTGCAAATTGAGGTACACAAAGTTGCTTGCAAAAATGTATCACTCGAATTTATGAAATTAAACTAATGATGATTTCAGATTTCCTCCAGTTAACACTTACTCTACGATAGTGAAAACATGAATTATCGGCAACATGTAATCCAGCCCAATCTCTGGATCTCTTTAACTCGTGAAGCATCTGAAATTATATATTTACATTGGTAAGAATAGTGAGCACTTAAACACCAAAAATCAAACATGATTCAGAATTCAGACACATTCTGTACCTCCTCTGAAAAGTCGGTGTTAATTACAGCCATTGATTATTCACTTCTCTGGACACATAATTGAAAGTGCAATAGACCTAGAAATAGTGGTACGAGACTACAGAACATATCAATAATCCGTATAATCCAAGTATCTAACCTGTTCTCTTGTCATGTAGGAAACTAACCAGCAGCGATGATTCCAGGCTCGATAGTTCATTTTTGATCTCTGCATTTTGAAGAATATGAACTGCATCAAGTCTGGCTCTACCCACAAGCATTATACAACCATTGACGGTCAATGAATAAAGACTCCAATATCCTAATAATAAAGAACGGGTTTACATGAAAGAGGGAAAAGAGTATGACAAAGTAATAGGAACATTGATAAGCTATCAACCTTAGACCCATATAAGAAAACAAACAGCTTAATGCAGTCAAACTTTAAGGTTAACCACTTCTTGAGATAGAAGAAAATAAAGAAATCAAGGATCTACTTCGAGAAAGCTAATTAGACCTCAGCTATTTTTTTGACGAGCTCGGATTCTTTTGCTACAATCTGTTGAAGATTTAAACAGTTCCCAGCAATCATCTTGATCACCCATCGCCTATGACTCCATGCTTGTTCGCTTTTAGGTGAATAAGAGAGAACAAGAGTGGACAAAAAAAGTTCATCTGTAAACACTGACAGCTGCGGCTTCTTCAACACAAGTAGCTTCCTAATGGCATAATATGAAAACTAAAATCGTGATCAAATAAAACCACATATCAAAGATAAAACTAAAATATTATACCATAACAGTCGGCATAAGGAATGTCAAAACTTTCAGCATGTGCTCATGCAAATACAATCTTAAGGCTCAATTTGTCATTCCCAAAGTTTATGCCTGAATCTTGGTAAGATCAAGCTTAAACCGAGACTTGAAGAACCAATAAACTAGCCCATGAACAAAGAATTGAAATTCAGTAGCAGGATAGACAGGAACTATGTGGCATGCCCTAAGTGACAAAGCACTGTTTCTGAGACATATCAATCATTTATCCACAGTGAAACTACAAGCACATACTGGTTAAAAAGATCATATACGAAACAATTCACAATGCCATACAAGAAACAAAAAATGAATAACAATTTCCAACATATTCCCAGTAATCTATTTTTGCATCCAAATTACAAGTTAATGGAAGAAGTAAAGACAGGTATAAATCAGAATCAGGGAAACCTGGCATTCCATGCAGTGCCAAAATCACAACTTAACAATAAAAGTGCCCTGCTGTGCTTCATGACTTCGTGTTCGAAAGATTGGCAAGACAATAAAGAGTCAATAACGATGTTCTCATCCTCATGCTTATCATCCGATAAGTTGCTATGCATCTTATATTGTTTCATCGCATCCATGAATGCACTTTTTGCAGCTTTACACAAAGGAAGAAGAACCTCAGTGGAAATGCCCAACTTATGATCTCTATTCCAAAATTTTGTATCTGTTGGTCCAAAAGCATCATCCACAGACGAATTACCGGATTCACCACACTCGTTGCTGAGTGTGACAAACTGAGATGGGTGAATAAGCCCTACTTCATCACTGAATTCAAGATCAGACAATCTTAACATAAAAGTAACATGTTTCAACATATACATTATGTATTTCTTTCCATTAAAGTCAAAGTTTTGAAGTTTCACTCTCTGTCTCTGTCTCTCTCTCTCTCTCTCTCTCTTTTAAAGATTTCGAAACTTCTCAAACAAAAAGAAATGATGCAAAAGCCTCAACAAATGAAAATCCTAAAAAATGTATAAATGATTCTTCTAACTAAATCAAATGCAAACAAAAACTTATTTCTCAATTTCGACTTTATTCCTAAGTTTTCCATTTCGATGAGTATAGTTATTCGACTTTAGCTTCAGTGGAAGTTTCTTCATTTTCTCAACAACCGAATAATAAAAAAAGTGTGATATAATCCGGAAATTAACATTACTAAATTTATATACGTTCATTAGAGAAAGATCACAAAATATAGTAACTCACATGAGAGGATCAGATTCCAAAATAGTTTCCAACTGATTCAACAGATCCATTGCTCTTTCTTTGTCACACGAGTTTCCTCACCCAAAAAAAACCAGAAAAAGAAATCTTTAACTTGAAAAAGGGACTGAAAAGAATAAAAAGGAAAGTAATCTTCAGCGACTGTCTCTGGCGAGGATGAAAGACAAAATTTTCGTTTTCAATTTTTTCGGGCAAAAATAAAGGGACAAAAATTACCGGAAGAGGAGAATCGGTAGCCTTAAACTTGCCCTGCCTTCGCTTTGCATCAACCACTTGTATCAAAATCTGATATTCCTTCACTTATGGAACGCCCACTTTCTCATCAAACTTCAAAACATCGACACCGTCGTATTACCCATATACCCAAGCCTTCATTTCGCCGGGAAATCGAGCGAAAGAAATCGATGACGTGCCCTTTGGCCTTTGGGATAAAGGTGGTGTTCAGTGATTTCCTTCTGGTTTTGGGTAAAGCTTACAAAGTGGCGGAGGACAAGGCAAGAATATGTCACACTATTTGAAAGTTAGATTTCTTTTTTTTAATTTTGTAAAACTTAAAATCAAATTAATAAAATATGTAAGTAACATGGACCAATTATATAATGATATCATATTTTAATTGTCAGGTCACACCGGTAGTTAGATGTTAAAGATTAATGTCTTGATTTTAAGATTTATTTAATTAAATGATTTGATTGATAAAATTTTAAATTGATGGTCAAAATAAAAAAATAATAATAATTAAGTGATCATACAAATAGTTTATCCAAAAATTAAAAAAACAAATAATTAAATTCACAATCAGATTAGTATTTTATTCACTATCTCATTGAATCAAATTACAACACATATTATAAATTTTAAAATTAAATTAACTTATGATAATATGTTATAAAAGTATAAGTCATATGTGCATTGCATATGTAAATTTTATCTTATAAATGTAAAATAAAATCAAATGTATCTAATTATTATTCAAATGAAATTTAATAGAAACCCAAAACTATTTCTCAGAAATCAAATTGATTTTATTTTATTGTACGATTGCAGTTCTGAGGTTATCTTCCTATATGGTGAAGCTTAAGAGTCCGATGACGTACCTTACCAATATGCCATTCAAGCACTCTTTCAAGTTCTCTTCCTTTGGACCTTCCGCAATCATTGAGGCTGCCTTCCAAAACAACATTTACAGAGGTTCTTCTCAAACCTCACTCCACCTTTTTAATTTATTTTAAAGAATTTGACTTCGACGTATATCCAATCATAGGACACTCCATTTAAGATATGTTATACCTTCGGAAATCTCATCCGAAAACGATCAATCCTCCACCCACCAAGATCACTAGATAATCCATTCACTCACTAGAACATCCAAGGAACCTATATTCTCAGGGCTAAGGATCATGGCATCCTTTGAATCAACTACAATTCATAAGATAAGATTTATGAGAGACACATGATCTATCAGAGTGAAATCCAATATCTGGTAATCGAATTTATTTAACCTGTTAGTCTACGAGTAGTTATAATAACCTTATGTATGGCTCTATCAACAAGAGTCATTATAAATATTTCAACTACGACTGAGGAGAAGGATCTCCATCAACTTCTTCCTCCTTCAATCTTTTATATATATATATCACCATCATGCTTTTATCTTTAAAATATAGAAACACTGTCCAATGATGGCTCCCTCACCGACCGCGACTCTCCATCCAAACTAGAAGGGGTGAAGTGACAACGATCGATGAGACAAATTTATTCCCACTAACATTTGGTAAAGTGAACGTGAGAAAATCTCACGGCCAAGAGAATCAGTTGAGATCATCTCTAAAAAATCAATATAACCCTCATCATCCAAAAAAAATCAAAATAGTCATCCTCACCTACTCCAAAACTCAACACAATTGTCCTCACAACCTTCAACAAGCGGAGGAAATACCCACACGCTCTTTGACAATCCATATCACTCTTCCCATGAGCATAGGATTAGGAAGGTGACATTGATCAAAGCCTTGCTTCATAAAGCCTGCTCTCTTCACCTGCTCCACTTTCGGGCCCAATGCAACTCAGAAGAAGCAACAATTCGAACTTATGGATGAAAAAGCTAGTCATCACTTCATCAAGAACTGATGCATTTGAGAAACAAGGTGTCGAGAGAATGACCTTTGAATTATAAGGAGTAACACCTTGGATGAGGGCGTTTGCAAGGGCAACATCAGAAAACATGAAAAATATTCTACAACGACTCTTTTCTTTACCTCATGGGCATCGATGAGAATCACCTTACAAGCAGATAACAATAGTTACTAACTAACTATTTTGGTAGGAATGCTCCGCGAGAAACAACCAATGTGCTCCTAGTTTATTTACTTATAAAAACCCACTCTCTATGGTAGTATATAATATTTGAACAACCAATACATGTATATGTTGATATTTTTATACCTCTTCTTTAACTTTGAGTTCCCAAGTATGTTCCCCTTATCCTCCATTATGTTACTATCGAGACTTTTCTCTGCCCTGGCGATGGAGAGTGCAAATAGTACACCCTAAATGGTGTAACTAGTCTCAAAAAAGTGAGTGTTTATTCTCCATGAATCAGATAAAACACCAAATTGTAGAGTCGCCACCAATCTTTTAATCCGGTAAGATTGGTCACCAAAATTCATATTATTTTAATAAAAAATCCTAAGAATAATATTAAAATAATACAACTCGGGTTCGCTTTACCAGAAAAATGAGTTCAAAAGTCGGTTACGTATGAGAAAGAATTAACATTCCCACAATGCCCAAAATTGGTACCGGTATTTATTAATTAAATGTATTTGCAGTAAATGATAGATTTGTATTTAATTTAATTTACAAATAATTTAATATAGATAGCTACTAAATGATATTAAACATAAATATTAATTATTTTATTATAATATTCAATATTAAAATTAAAAAGTATAAATTATGTACAATTGTAATCCTAAAGTATTAATAATAATTAATATAATAATAATCAATATTTAAGGGACTAAACATGATATTTAACCTAAATATGTATATATACGTAATAATGACTAAAATAAAAATTAATGAAACTTGAAAACCAAATTAAAATAGGTTGAAACATGCTTTTCAGTGACTAAATCGAATACTTACAAAAGTTACAATGACTGCGCTTGTAATTAAACCCTGCGCGAATTTACCTAGAAGCCCCTCCCCAAAATGACGCCATTCGGGGAGGGGTATAAATAAATCCTAACCGGCCTAAAGAGAGACATTTCTCTCATTTCCTCGTTTTGCTTCTCTCTTAGAGAGAAAAGCTCTTTACCCTCTCTAGGATTCCCTCACCAGAGGGAATCCGACCACCGTTGGCCACCATACGCCGGCACCGACACCCACCACCGACCACCACTTATGATGATTGAAAATTACCAAAATACATCAAATGACCCCCTTCCCGTCCTAAAGCCAATTTCGGCAACCGTTTCTTCTAAAAAGCTTTAAACCGACGTAGATCTAAGAGTTATACCTTCGAAACTTGGCTTTTCCGGTGGCGCTTGAGATCTACGACGATTGTAAGGCGTCTCTCTGTTTCTCTATTTTATGATTGTGTGTTTATGTTACTGCCTTGGTTTGCTTGCTTGCTCGTTGTTCATTCTCTTGCTCTCGTTGTTTGGTTCTCTTGCATGTTCACCCTATTTATAGGGTTCTTTGGTGCATCATTTTGTCCAGTTAAACGAACGAACCCCGGTGAGTCACTGGAGCTATGGTGGTGACTCACCCTAGGGGCAGTGATCTGTACGGTAGAGAGACTGGGTGCATTAAATGCACCCAGATCTTGTAGATCCGAAGAGGACGTGGCTACTGATGGTTGGAGCGTTCGGCGGTGGAGGCATCATTATCTCTACAGCGGCGCCGGAATAGCCCTAGGGTTATAATGAGTACTTTAGGGTTTGGCTGGTTCACTTCTGGCCATTGATTTGCTTCTGGATCGGACGACCGTGGAAGCTTGCGGCGCTGGAACATGTGTGAAACCCTAGCAGAATTAGGGCTTGCTTCTGGCGTGGGCTTGCTGGGCTGTTCGGTTCAAGTCTGGGCCTGGATCGAGCCTGTTGGGGCTACTTGGGTCGAATTTGGTTGTAACATTTGTTTAAGGTTGTAATCGGGCCTCCGGGCTTAATGCATTTGGGTCATGTAAAATTTATACTTGTTAGTTATAATATAATAATAACGTAATTATAATATAATGATATAATTATATTAAAACCAAATTCAGACGAAAACGACTGTCGACATCTACCCCTCTTTGCTTATTGTTGTGAAAACAAGAATAAGAAAAGACAAGAAGTTTTCGTCTAATTCACTTCATATAAAAATTCATTCCACTACTCTTCCGTGGAGATCAAACTTTTAATCTGATCTTGCTTCACTACTCTTTTTGTGAAGGATGAATTTGCATTGCTTTACTACTCTTTTGTGAAGGCTTGATTTGAACTGCTTCACTACTCTTTTGTGAAGGCTTGATTGACTTGAGAAGAATCTGTTTCACTACTCTTCCGTGAAGATCAGATTCGAAGTTGATTTGATTCCACTATTCTTCCATGGAGATCGGATTGACTTGGAAAGAAATCATTCCCACTATTCTTCCGTGGGTGTTATACTCGTGCAATCTTAGGATATCCCTCTTTTAGGGATTTTTAGTTGACTATTCCAATCTCGAGATTTGGACTTTCGACTTCTTTTTGGAAAACCTGCAAATGTGACATTGTGTTTGCTATCATGTATTTATGAATGTCATGACCTTATTTATGACTAAAATGTGTGCAATAACAAAATTTCGGGGTATATTTTTTCTTCGAACAATGGCCCCTTTTTGCTATCCATTCTTGACTTAGTCTCATCAAAGATGCAACAATCATAATCATTTTATCTCGACCAACCATCTCGATCTTTTTCTTTTGAACCTAAACTTGTCTTTGTTCTTCTTGAATTCTAAATAACAAATCATTCCATTAATGACAAATATTTCAGATCATCATCAAGTATCTGAAACCTCCTTATGTACTTCAATGTTTCATGTATCATGCCATCATATGTTAAAACATTGTTAGCCTCAAAATATCAGTAGTTTTCAAAGACTTTTTTGTACAATAATACACCATGATTTTATGTACTTCAAATTAAACTACATGTTTTGAATATTCAAATCAAGATGTTTTGCAAAAAGAAAAATATTTTTATTTATGCAAAGAATTTACATGGAAAACTTTTATTTGTAAAAGACAAAGTAGGTGTCCTCAATCACCAATAGCATAAATGCTTTTGAATTGGCACACCACAAATTGACTTGAGTGTAGCTTCTGTCAAAAGGATCTCGAAATTATGATGAAGGTATGGAGTTCCTCAAATCCTTTTTCTCTTCATGCAAAAATATCTTTTAACTGCATCTGAATTTACTGGGTAAGGTAATTTAGGTCCATCCATTTTAGTAAGGACTAAA